AAACTGTAGTCTTAACACACACACACACACACATAAAACCACTGTAGTCTTCATGCACCTTTCCTTTTTAGCTTCCATGGTGAGAACCATAATGAGTTTACCCCTCTTGTCAAGATACAGAAAAGGAATAAAAAATGTAATATCAACTACAGTTGTTTTTTTTAACTACTATGTCTTTTTTTAAAGAAAATCTATAAGGTGACAAAAGATAACATGGAGAATTTAATAATTTTGAAAGTAATATCTAAGCATGATTTTTCCAAATGTTTAAAAAGATGCTCAGGCTTACTCATAAGAGAAATTCAAATTAAAGTTATTAGTAACTATCAGAATGGTAAAGATCTAAAAGTGTATTTCCTTTTACCCTTAAGTAGAAACATTCTTACTAGTATTGGAAGTATACATTGATATTGTCTAACTTTTCTCCAAAGAGGTTTATATTTATCAAAATTCAAAATACATATTTTCTTTAGGCCAATAATTCTGCTGTATCCTATGATTTATCCAACCACTGTCCTCTCAGACATGCACATAAATCAGCAATTTATAAGGGTATCCATTATGGCAGTATTTGTAATAGCAAAAAATTGGACAATCTAGGAAACTGGTTAAGTCAGTACCTTCCAACACTGGAGGACTATGTAGCTTATAAAAAGGATGGCATTTTATATGATCTTTCTCCAAGATATGTAATTAAAATAAACAGCAATCATTTTTATGTATTGAAAGAGGTGGGGGTTGCGTGTGTGAATACATGCTTTTTTATGCATAAACTCCGGGTGGATACAAACCGGCAGTATTGATGGAACCTGTGGTGAGGGGAGACTACCTTTCTTTGGTACACCCTTTTGTACTGTTTGAATTTTTTTTCATAGATACTAATTTTACTTATTAAAGATGAAATTTTAAACACAAATAAAAATGCAATGGAAGTGTACTCAGAAGTCCTGCTTAGATCTTAAATCCTTTCAGTCCTTTGCCCACCTTCCTATGTAGGTAGGAAACATCTGGCCAAGTATGTTCGAGATTTTTACCTAGTAACGAAACATGTTACTTGGTTGCGCTCATGAAAAAATGGTGTTGAGTACTTTGCAGTTTTCATGTGTTCATTACAAATGTTCATTTACTCACGTCAACTCTGTGGGGTAGTTGACAGTGTCTTTACTTACTGATGAAGGCTCAGGTTAAGAAACAAGCTCAAGGTCACAGGGCCGCAGGCAGCACAGCTGGAAAGTGAGTCCGTGTAAGTGGTGGGAGTCCTGATGTGTCTACTGTATTTATTGGCCTTGCCTTAGAGGCACAGTGTGCATCCTACTGACTGATACCATTCTTCTATACATAGGTACCGATGGGCCTTCATTCCAGAAGTCTCAGATGATTCTGGTTTGGAAGTCAGACGGCAGGGCATACATCAACGAGAATTTAAACCTTACGTGGTACGACTAGCAAAACTTCTTCGGAAAAGGGCAAAGGTATTGCATTCTTTTCTATTTATTTTTGTTAAGTATAAGCAGGTAACATTTGTAAGATACAGCATATCTTATGGACAACTTCCACTGTGCATCAGGCTAATAAATTACAGATCTTTACCCAAGAAATTAGTGAGTTTCTTACTTTCATCAGTAGGTCTTTGTTACAAATCTTTTGTCTTCAGAAAATTTCAAAACTAAATTGTACAATTTGGGGACAATCTGGGTTTTTATCTTAGAGTACTAGTTTGTAATACGTGCTTTGAGTGCTCAGAAATTTTCCAGTCTTCTGGGGTCCCGTATTCAGGCAGCAGCTCTTAAACCGCATTCCACAGACTACAGAGATGGAATGGGGGACAGTGATTTCAAAGGTTATATTCGAAGGACATGCAGAACTTGATTTAAAATCACGTTGTTTCTTTAGGGAGTAATAAGAACAGAACAGAGATGAAGGTGAAGGTTGAATCCAGAGTTTAGGAGCACACTTGGGTACCTTCATTTTGATATTGCAGGGTCTGAAAAAATAATCATGACAATTCCAGAAGCTATGTGGTTATAGGTACATTGTCATCCCTGCATCTCATAGTAATGAGTTTTTACGGAACTCCTCCCACAAAATGAAAAAAAAGGTCTATTGGAAAGTATTTTCTCATCCAGAACACCTTAAAACAAGGTCTTCATGGCCAAGTCCACTTTTCACTGGAGCAAAGGCTATGAGTTCTAATCTTTCCTTCCACAGGACAAGGAGGAGGACTTTAAGACAGTGATTTTGGAGGGATTGGAGATGTCCAGTCATCAGGTGAGGGTGGCTTTTTGATGCTTATGATATGGCAGCAAATGTTGCCACATCTGGACCAAATCTTGAGACACAAACCCAGGTCTGGATTTCAGTACAAGAGAGGTAAAACAGGAAGGTAGTCTTTCCAGTGTAGACTGTTGAAGTGAAAGGAGAAGTCGTTCACATGGAAACGTTTGACTTTTTAAATTTTATTTATTACTGAGGAAGTGATTTAGTTCTGATTAAGACCAGAAACACTAAAACAAATGCACTCTTCTTGGTCAAGTGCTTTTTAGTAAAAAAAAAAAAAAAAAAGTCCTTCTATTAAAAGTACCTCTTGACAGGAATATAATCAAAAGGTTATACCATAGTTCCTTCCATTTGGAAATCAGCTGTGTAGACGGTTCAAGCATATTACTTGTTTCCCTTCAGACTCAGTTCATCTCTGCAGACCCTTAAATAGATATTGAATCACACTTGGACTTAGGGCACTAAAAGTGGTGTAGTTGCCAGTCTCAGGACTGTCAATAAAGCCAGCATTACTAGGTGAGAGGAAAAGAAAGTGATTTCGTACTAAGAAATAAACAGATAGCTGTTTCTTTTTTTTTTAATTTGGCCATAGATAAAGAACAAAACAATCTTTTCTTACTTGTTCCTAGAGACTTCTGAGAAAGGAAAGTAGATTCAAACAGGATTTTATTTTAAAATAGCAAACTGTAAGCACACAAGAAAATAAGCTGGATTGCATCTGCTTCTCTACTAGGAAGCTAGTGATATTAAAATACTACGTAAACGATGAAAGTTTCTCAGCAACATCTTAGAAGGCAAACCCTATTTGTGAACAAATATGACAGACTATAATTCTGCTTCCTAAGTCCCACTTGATATTTTTTTTCTATCTAGTTGTTTTCATTATCTTTACTCAGTATGTTTTCCTATCTATGATTCTGCCCCAGTTCAGACATCTTCAGATCTCTCAGAACATTCTCTAGATAAGACTTAACATCTACAACTGTATTTGTATAATTTAGTTGGCTTCTCAAATTAGCTGCTTAAGTATGTAAATTACTGTTTGGACTCAGTGGACAGTCTTCACATTCATTCTTATTTGACTTCTCTGCTGCCCCATTTTATAGGCTGTACCTTGCCCACAGTAAGGACATGGCAGAGCAGGATACTAACCCTGGAGTAACTCTGCCTCCAGGTCCAGCTTCCCTTCCCCATGTGGTTTACAACAACCCAGAAGCACATGCCAGCGTCTCTCCTCAGAGTGCCTTTCCTTTCCCTGTGTGGCAGGTCTAAGCCTTCTGGCCACAATGTAATTGGCTGATGTACTAACAGTGACATGTATGAGACCTTCTGCCCCTTCTGTGGTCATTTTATGACCTAGTCCTCGGATACATTAGAAGGAATCCAGAAATCTGGGAGCTTTTTGAGTATATGCAAAGCACAAGATGAACTTTAGTATTTGTCCATATCCAAAACCAGTTCCGCTAATAGCTAAGCTTACTCGTGCATTCTAGATGGAAAATCTTACTACAATGTACAATTAATAATTGGCACCAGAAGGCCTCAGTCAGAAGCAGGTGTTTTAGCAAGTCTGGAATGGACACTTAATGGCATCATTTGTATTCATTTCTTAACTCTGTCTAAGCTTTCTCACAGACTAAGGCCTTCTGTTGGTGACAGTTGCCTCTCTGTCTTCTGCAGAAAAACCCAGAGGAGGACAACTCAGGGAGAGCGCTGGGCTGGGAGCCGGGGCACTTGCTGCTCACCGTCTGCACTGTGCGCAGCCTCGAGCAGCTGCTGCCATTCTTCAACGTGCTCAGCCAGGTCTTCAACAGCAAAGTCACCAGCCGATGCGCGGGACACTCAGGGAGCCCCGTCCTCTACTCCACCACCTTCCCCAACAAGGACATGAAGCTGGAAAACCACAAACCATTTTCCAGCAAAGCTAGGCAAAAAATAGAAGAGATGGTAGAAAAAGATTTTCTGGAAGGGGTGGTAAAAACTTGAGCACCACAAGTGGTTCCATTTAGTTTAAATGTAATTATTTAAAACAAACATTTGCTCCTGAGTTGTATAGTTTTTTTTTTTTTTGTATGTAACAAAACATGTTTCAGGTTGTATTTAATTTAAATATTTGTAAATAAGAACAAATGTCTGACTGTGGCCTGAATCAAGTTTAAATAACTGTGGGCTCATATTGATTATGGTGCCTAAGAGAGATCTATATATACGTAAATAGTCCACTATAGTCCATTGTTTTATTGTCCTGAGTTGTCTTAAATCTGCCAAATACACACTGCACATTTTTTCTATTCGTTTCAGGCTTTGTTTAATTTAGATGGGTTGGAGACTCTTTTTCTTTGACTTATAAATAAGAATGGTGTCACTTCTCTGTCAGAGGCTTGGTAATGTCTTACAGCCAGTTTCTCCCACTTACCTTCACTAAGAGGAGTAAAGAAAACAGGCCTGGCCCATGCATCCTTGTAAGTAACTGTGGCACAGGCATTTCCACCTCAGTGTAGAGTAGAGGTCCACAGCCTCCATAGTCACCCCTGAGTTCCCGGTGATGTTAACTGAAGAGGTAAGTACATAAGAACTGCTTTGAAGTCTCTGCTATGAAAAAAACTGGTTGTATTTGTATCAAGTCTTCTCCGCCCTGCTCAATTGTATCACCGGTGGTGACTACCAGGACTGCAAAATGGCATCGTGGGGAGGTAACATCGATGGAAAACACATCACAGGAGTTGGTAATAAATAAGCTTTAATTTTCTAGCAGCCTTCATGAATTTTTCCTTGCATATATTTTAAAGTTAATGACTGAATCATATACTTGAGCTCCAGTATTTTACATTAGTGTGATTACTATTACAGGTAAATTTAGTTTTATTTAAAAAAAAATGAAATTTAACAAATTTAAGGCTTACCTATTTCTAAAGAATGATTCTGGTAGTGTTTAAGAAAAACAATCAGACCTAGAAACAATCCAGTAAGGTACACTGTAAACATTATTATAAATGTGTCTGAACCTGTCACAACAGTGGCAGTAATATTATTCTGTAAGAACTTAAAAAAAAAAATCTGGTTTCTAAATTTTTATATTTAAAAATTTTTATATTTAAAAATTGTCCTCAGAAACCTTGTTGAGGTCTTTCTCCAATTCCTCCAGCCAGCTGAAATACTGCCAAGCTCACTTCATATGCAAGGCTGTCTGTGTTTTCCTGCAAGTTACATAAAAGGATATTAGATGAAAAAGACACAGCATCTACCAGGTTACTTGCAACTCCAGGGGGAGGGAGCTTTCCAATTTTGTTTCATTAACAAATAATTCAAATGAGAACTTTTTTTCATCTTTCAGTAACAAATTACAAGACCCTTATCTAAGTGGAAAACAAGTCACATTTTTCTAAATCAGGTAAGTTCCTAGCTAACTATATTTTATAATCTGATTTGATTATCATGTTAAAACTCTGAATAAATTCAATAAGAAAAGACATAACAATACGTCTCCGGTCAGTCAATAGTGTGAAGAGTTACTGACTCTTTAGGCAGTAAGTTGTTAATGGCAAGAAGGCCACAATTAACCAAAAGAGGAAGTAACTGTTGAGGCCCCGGTATCCTTTCCTCATCCACCAGGGATATTTATTCACTGCATTCTGTGATGGCTTGAATTTCTGCAAAAAAGCTATCAGCTACTATATAAATTGAAAACTTCTCTTATTGAGGCTCTGATCATTCCCCTGTAACTATGCCTCAGCTGAAAAAAACTTTTAAGTCTCTGACCCTATCAAGAAAAGAGACGCACAGAGCAAGGCCGTCATTTAAAGGAAAAATTTTGAAAACCAAATTGAAAGTCTAGACACAAGGACAAATTTTTCAGGCAGCACAGGTGACAGTACCAGTGAGTTTAGAAATGAACTTCAAAGTGAGTCATTTTCATGAAGCAATAGAATGTTTTTAGAGGAAGGAAAAAAGTATATTCCACTTCAGGATGCATAAACTTAATTTCTATGTGTCAAACTAAGTATGTATTGGTAAACTACGTAGTATTCTTAGAGCAGTTAAAACTGTGACCCTTTTAGGAAATATAGAATACATTACAAGAAGAATATCTGGGGGAGTTTTATTCAACTATGTAACTACTACTGAAGAAAAAAGGCTCCATAAATCTTGGACATTAGAGATTCCAATACCATTAAAATAGGTTTCTCTCCTGCTACCACCCTCCTCCACCTCCTTTAGAGTCTCGCTGCACATTCTTTCAGTAGAACTGTCTCAGCTCACCTGCGAGTCTGCTTCTGCGTAGACTCGGACTATGTCTTCTGTACCAGAGGGCCGGACAAAAGCGCGAGAAAGCCTGTACTTCTTCACCAGGTCATTGATGGCCTCCTGGAGTCCCAGGGGTTTAACTACTTGTCTTTCCGCATCTGTGGTGCTAATTACTTGCCTGTCTGCAACCTAAGCACAAGCATTTCATTTTTTCTTCTATATCACACTCCCTTTCAGAAGCTTAACCCATGCAACATAATTCCCACCAAAAGATTATGGCTATTTCATGTCAGCAGGAACAGACCTACATTTCAGCTGACTGTACCACAAAGCACAGTACTGAGGTAGATTACCACAGTTTTACAGTCACTACTAAAATAATGGCCAGTACTGTATGGCTTAGTCATTGATCAAATAATCTTAGGTATTTTTTAAAAGGGGGATCATAAAAATCTCCTTTAAAAAAACCTGAACAATCAGCAGTCATTTCTGTGAACTCTGGATTCAATATCTGTCTTTCAAAAATGTCTGTTGGTAAATGTGTAATCTGGTATATATCAGCAATTTATCTAAAATGCCTTTAAAAATTGTGTCCCTTTCAGCCCAGATTCTACTTCTCAGCATCTAGCCTCTGGAAGTACTGTGTGAACCAAGAATAATGCAGAGGAAGGAAACAGCTACACTTGAACCAACAAGCTATCCAGGACTTGCTTCAAAATAATATTGGGGCTGTGGATGACACTAGTTGAAGCCAGTGTAAAGGGGGTTCATTATTTTGTTCTCACATCTTTAAAGTTTAAAAAATAAAATAAAATCCTTTACAGTGATACATATTTATAATAAAGTTGGAAACCAAATACTTCTAAATAACAGTAGAATGGTTAGGAGGGATTCTGTAGTTTTAAAAAATGTGAGAAAATTCAGTATTTTCTATATAATACATATGTGTAGAATGAAATTATTTTAGTTAATTTTCAGAAAGGGAGTAATCTGGCTCACACCTTAACTTTGAGCTGTCTGTTTGGAAGATCTGTATAGAGCGAGTCCCACTGCTGCACGGTCAAGCCCTTCAGAGCCAAGATCGCCTCGATAACCAGCATGTCAGAAATAGCATCACCGATTGTCTGCAAGACGCAAGAACACAAGCACGGCGCTGATCCGAATGCTTTCTGAGAAAACCGTGTCCTGGCTGCCGCCTCCCCCCACGCTGCGTGACTGACCGGGCTGGGGACGTGAACGACACTGAGGGAGACGGCTCTGGGAGGCAACAGTAAACGGGCTGAAGGGAATACTAAGACCAGCCTGCCTTTCATCTCCTTGCTCATATGTAAAGTGGGGCTGGACTGGATGACTCTTAAGGTGCCAGCATTAACACTCTGTGAATCAACATTTTATTTATTACTAGATCCCTTCTGATATATTATGCCATGATGGTGAAAGGCCTCATGCATGGTAAAGTGGAGCTTTTGGGGGCGAAACACACCTAAAGTTGGATACTCTGCCATATTCTGCCACTGTGTAACTCTTAAGTTTCTTCATTTATAAAACAGAAGTTATGATGACGACTCTTCCTGTTATGCAAGGATTACATACTGAGGTATATGAACTGCCCAAGATGTGCAAGACTCCCAAATATAAGTTCTGTCGCTTTCCACTGACCTACACTTTGCTCTTCCACTGCCAGTCTCCACTCCAGTCCCAATCATCCTACCCACAGATGTGCTTCATCAGAGACTATTTTTTCTGAATTCCCTTGACAAGGTTGGTTTCAAAACACATTTTTATATATATATATATATATACACACACACACACATATATCTCCTCACAGATATACTTCGTAGCTAATCTGTTGACCTCAGCTGTAAACTAATCATTACTTGAAAATCTGAAGCACATAAATGTTCTGTCACTGCATTTCAGTATAAATCTACACAGCTGCAAGTAAGCTGCCACAACTTTTCCACTTCGATGTTTGACGCAGTACATGACCCTGTCTACCTTCTGACTCTGTAAGTAACCAAGAGTCCTGGAGGAGGGCATGGCAAGCCACTCCAGTGTTCTTGCCTAGAGAATCCCCATGGACAGAGGAGCCTGGGGGGCTGCAGTTCATGGGGTTGCAGAGTCAGAGACAACTGAGCGAGTAAGCACAACACAGCTGAGAGTCCAGCACCCCCCCTCGGCTCTCACCTGGTTAAACAAGTCAATTACACTTTCAAGCATCTTTGCAGCCTTCCTTTTCTCATCCTCTGATTCTTTTGCTAGTTGTTTTATCTTTGTTTCAGCAGCTTTACTAAACAGTACCTATAATAAAAGCATACCAAAAAAAAAAATCACCAAACACTAACCATGCCCTAGTTGTAAGTACGATCATCCCAACTAAACTAATTTTGAAACTCTCAGTGAATCTGGAGAAACCGAGGGGATAAAAATGGCAGCTGTAGAATATCTGAAATTAATGTAAGATCAAATCAGAACTCAGAAGGTATTACAGGATTATAAAATTGGGTTACCAAAATGTAAAAATTACCAAGAAAACGATCACCCTGGCAAAAGTGAATGCACATGGTGAGTGTATGATGTTGCAGTCAGCCAACTAAACCACTTCTGGGCAACCAGCTTCCTTAAGCCTGACCTGTGTCCAGTCTACTTTGAAGAATATAAGTCATTTGCCGTAAGTAGGGTTTTCTTGACTTAATTTTTAAGGACATAAAGCTAAGCAAAAGTATAAAAGAGGTTCGTCATACATATTACACCATGGCAAATAGTGGATATTTAGTATAATATACATCATGCTCCTCAGGATTCCTGCCGTTTTGAATTGCTTGCCCACACATGATTTTAGTGCCTTCAGAGGCCCAATACTGAAAAGGAACAGAACAGTACATTTGCTCACTTGATGAAATACAAAGTTTGCTGGTAAACTAAGATGCACTGGTCACTTGTTTTATGGAATCGTGGCCACTCCCATTCATTTATACTCTTCACTAGGAGATCTGAGCAGATGCAACAAACCTTATGGCCTGTGAAAACTATTTACTAGTTCAAAAGCATTTACCAACCCTGCATAAGATCACTGAAGTTATATTTCAATTCCATTTTCTAGGAATTTACTATTTTTCTTCTCATAGTCATGGCCTATTCAAGCCAATTTTGAATTAATGAGAATTATCTGACCTAGATAACATTTTCTGTTAACCATCTCAAATCCATTTATGCAATGAGGCTAAATATTAAAAAACATTTAATAAAGAAAAATTCCGAACCTTATGAATATACTACAGACCTATTAATATATGTTAAAATGGTGAGTATTAGGGTATACAAATTATATCTCAAACTTTCATTCTCCCTCTGCTAAGTCATAAAAAATTTTATATGCCTATTGCAAATTACTTTAAACTCATTTCTAGTTGCTTATAAGTTAGTCCTCAACCTTCTCACACTTTTGAAGAAAAATTTTAAATGATGTATAAATTGCCTAGTTGCAGGGGAATTAAGACCTACATATTTTTAAGAAACTATATATATTACAGGAACAAATTAGTATTATCTCTTCACATTCAAAGGAAGATCATTACAATCTAAAAGAGAGCCATGTTTTCACAGAACATAAGAAAATAATCAGCTAAATCATTTCTATTACCGTCCCAATCACTTCATGGTGGAATATTACCTAACTAGGTACAGAATGCCATCTTTAAAAAAAAAAAGTCTGCGCTAAAGGCAGGTCATTATTTATGAGAACTTACTGTGCCGTGCCCATTTGCTTCAAAATAAACACCAATGTCAAACTCTTGAGCTTTGTGGTGTAAATGTTTAACACCAGTTTTAGTGCAGTAGACAGGCACCTGAAACACATATTTACAAAACAACAGGAGTTAATCAGCAAATATGCACTGTGTACTTACAAGCTCGATGGTGTGGTCACTCACCTTGAGCCAGACATCCTGGAGTGCGAAGTCAAGTGGGCCTTAGGAAATACAGGAACAGAGCTAGGGAAGGTTATGGAATTCCAGCTGAGCTATTTTAAAATCCTAAAAGATGATGCTGTTAAGGTGCTGCACTCAATATTCCAGCTAATTTGGAAAATTCTGTGTAGATCACAATAAACTGCAGAAAATTCTTAAAAAGATAGGAATATCAGACCACATTACCTGCCTCCTGAGAAACCTGTATGCAGGTCAAGAAACAATAGTGAACCAGATATGGAACAACAGACTGGTTCAAAATTAGGAAAGGAGTACGTCAAGGCTGTATATGGTCACCCTACTTATATAACTTATATGCAGAGTATGTCAGCGAAATGCTAGGCTGGAAAGAATCACAAGGTGGAATCAAGATTGCCGGGAGAAGTATCAAAAACCTCAGATACGCAGATGATACCATTCTAATGGCAGAAAATGAAGACAAACTAAAGAGCCTCCTGATGAGGGTGAAAGAGGAAAGTGAAAAAGCTGGCTTAAAACTCAACATTCAAAAAAAGATCATGGGAGAGAACAAGATGGCAGAGGAGTAGGTGGATGTTGAGTACATCTGTCCACGGATACATCAGGAATACACCTTCAGACACAGAAGTGCACGCAGAACCCCAGCTGAGAGCAGACAGGAGTACCTGACCAGGGGAAAAGAATACACAGAACCACGCAAAACTCAGTAGGACGAAGGAACTAGGGGAAAAACAGGAGTGTTAGGAACACTGGACCTGCCCTCAGCAGGTGGGGGAACTGAAGCAGGGGTCTGATCCCCCCAGTGTGGCAACTGTCTGAGTCAGACGCGAAACATTTAAGGCTGAGAGTGAAATTGCTGATCTGTGGCAGCCTAAATGGAATGAGAATCAGACAGTCCTTGCCAAAGCCATACATACCCTGGACAGGGACCCAGGTCCCCTGGAAGATGCAATGGCTGACAGCTGGAGTTCAGGGATGGTGGCACAATCTCAGGGCGAGGGCTGCTGTTGACTTCAGAGAGACGGGTGGTGGGGATGTGAGGAGGAGATCATGGTGGGAAATGCCTGTGGAGCAAAGCCAGGCAGCCATGGAAGCAAGGAGATACTGCTGAATCACACGTAGAGGGGTGGAGCCAGCAGCCTAGCCTCTCCCCCCACACGCCAGCATTGGCAGCTGAACAACAGAAAGGCTGGCCCGTCAAATGCCTGACGCACTGAACTCCAGAGTAGGACCCCAGGCACGAGAGCCCTCTAAGTGCCTGAACAGGCGGAGCTATGGAGAAAGACTGGCCAATGAGGCCTTCTGATCGCCAGCAACAAGAGGCTGGAAAAAAGACTCTGAGAGGGCCATAACTCCTGCAGCGGAAGCAGTCCGTGTCCCTGCACACTTTGCATCACCAGGGTCCCTGCCAGCCAAGCAGTTGCACCGTCTTCACGCTCAACTCACACTGGGACAGAGCTGCCACAGGTCAAAAAAATCCTGTGTCTATGCGTGCAGGGTCGCTTCAGTTGTGTCCAACTCTTTGTGACCCTGTAGACTGTGGTATGCCAGGCTTCTCTGTCAGGGAGTGGGGTTCTCCAGGCAATATTGGAGTGTACCGGCCAATACTGGTTGCCATAAGCTTCTAGAGCACTAAATTTCCTCCTGGGCTAGCTGCCAACTCCCCTGAGTACCTGGTGCTGCCAGAACCCCTGCAAGCCAAACAGCTGCACCACCTCCACACGTGGCCCTCATGGGGCAGACCCAAGTCCTCCAGGGCAGCCTCAGGAGCAAGCCCCAGAGGAAGACTCACATGCAGAGGTGGAAATAAAACCACAACTGAAACCCAGGGGCAGTGTGGCTAAGGAAGACGACCCAGAACCTTCCCACCAGACGTACACGTTGCTAATTAAATCCACATGATTAACGAGGCAGACTCTGTGTCTGTGGAATATATAAAAGGACACTGGGAGCTCCCGCATGAGAAAAAGCACTAGTTCTAATGGTTGCAGACACTGGAGGCAAGAACACAGAGGAGCAGGACCAGAGTAGAATCTGAGCTGCCCCCAGAGGAGGCCCAGAGACCAGCACGGTGTTGGAGGGCGTCCTCGGGAGGCGGGGTGGGCTGTGACCCCCAGTGAGGGAAGGGCTCTGACAGCAGTGACTCGGGAAAAACATTTACTAGTCTTATGTTTTGACTTGTTCTGTAGATTCTTTTGGATTTTGTTTTTCCTTCCCCCCACCCCCTCTGTTCTTCATTTTATTGGCACGGTGAAATCTAATTAAGCTTTTGAGCTCTGTTTTTTTTTTCTGTCACATATTTTATTGTTATAAACCTCTGCCTATACCCTGAGGAAACCAAAATTGAAAAAGAAACATGTATTCCAGTGTTCATTGCAGCAGTGTTTACAATAGTTAGAACATGGAAGCAACCTAGATGTCCATCAATGGATGAATGGATAAAGAAGTTGTGGTACATATACACAGTGGAATATTATTCAGCCATAAAAAGGAACACCTTTGAGTCGCTTCTAATGAGGTGGATGAACCTAGAACCTATTATACAGAGTGAAGTAAGTCAGAAAGAAAAAGACATTGTATTCTAATGCATATATATGGAATCTAGAAAAATGATACTGAAGAATTTACTTACAGGGCAGCAGTGGAGAAACAAACATAGAGAATAGACTTGTGGACATGGGGAGAGGGGCGGAGAGGGTGGGATGTATGGAAAGAGTAACATGGAAACTTACATGACCACACTCAAAGTAGACAGCCAACGAGAATTTGCTGTGTGGCTCAGGAAACGCAAACAGGGCTCTGTGTCAACCTAGAGGGGTGGGGAGGGAGATGGGAGGGAGGTTCAAAAGGGAGGGGATATATGTATACCTATGGCTGATTCATGCCAAGGTTTGACAGAAAACAAAATTCTGTAAAGCAATTATCCTTCAATAAAAAAATTGGAAAAAAAAAAAAAGGTCATGGCATGCAGTTCCATCACTTCATGACAGACAGATGGGGAAAAAATGGTAACACTGACAGATTTTCTTTTCTTGGGCTCCCAAATAACTATGGACGGTCACAACAGCCATGAAATTAAAAGATGTCCTCTCCTTAGAAGAAAAGCTAAGAAAAACCTAGACAGCATATTCAAAAGCAGAGACATCACTTTGCTAAGAAAAAGTCTGTGTAGTCAAAGCTATGGTTCTTCCAGTAGTTACATACGGATGTGAGAGTTGGACCATAAAGAAGGCTGAACACCAAAGAACTGATGCTTTCAAACTGTGGTGCTAGAGAAGACTCCTGAGAGTCCCCTGGACAGAAAGGAGATCAAACCAATCAATCTTAAAGGAAATCAATTCTGAATATTCATTGGAAGGACTGATGCTGAAACTTGAAGGTCCAATACTTTGGCCACCTGATGAGAGACAGGAAAACACCCTGATCCTGGGAAAGATTGAGGGCAGGAGGAGAAGAGGGCAACAGAGGATGAAATAGTTGGATGGTATCAAAATATCAATGGACATGAGTTTAAGCAAACTCTGGGAGATGGTGAAGGACAGGGAAGCCTGGTGGGGTACAGTCCATGGGGTCGCAAGGAGTCAGACACAACTGAGCAACTGAACCACCACCACCTACCATCCTAGGGAACAAAGCTCCTGGAACTTAGCCTAGTGAGACTAAGCAATTAAAACACAAAACCTAAGTGTCCCTGTGGGGAGTGACTGCACAGCAGAAGTCCACAGCCCCGGGTAAAGCAGCGCGAGAGAGCTGAGGGGCCCCTGATAATGAAAGAGTCCAGCTGGGGGTGTGAGTGACATGATTTGATTGTTCCAGAAAGCTGTTTAGCTACAGTGTGAAGAATGGCTTAAAACCAGGGTCTTCCAGCTTTTACTATAAAGAGATAACTAGTATTTCAGGCTTTGTAGGCCACGTGGTCTCCATCACAACTGCTTCATTCTGTCTCTAGTGAGAAAGCAGTCACAAGACCATATAAAAACGAGAGCATGGCTGTATTTCCATGAAACTAGACACGGCTGGCCGGGTCAGTGTGGCCCAGAGGCCACTGTTTGCTAAGCTCTGGCTTAGGTTAGGTGGTTTCTGTGGCTAATCCTAGTAAGAAATCAGTGACTGGAGTACTAACAGTGGGCAGCAAGTCTCGGATAGATCTACAAGAGAATGGTTAAGGAAAGACAGCAGCAAAACTGCAAAAGAAAGCAAGCTCAGACAGGCCTGGCATTTGACTGGGTTTAGGAGACCGTGGGCATGGCTAGGGCTGAAAATATTTAATCTACAAGAGAATGCGTTGAGAAGGAAGAGTTACCAACGTTCAGTTTCCTCAACAGGGCATCTTACTATGAGCCATTTTTGAGACAGAAATTAAGAAAATACCAAAATAACCCAAACAGCAAGAATCTCTGTGAAAGGCAGGCAACTAGGCTCCAGATGGAGTCCTTTGCGTGGGTTTACTGTAACCATATATTTAAGGCATATATTTACTATAACCATGTATTTAAGTCAGGGCACCAGCTAGTCACCTCCAGGCATGTTTTATGTGGCCTAACCACTATTTCTTTTAAATGCTGAATCAGCTGCCAAGACTTCAACGGTAGGAAATTCACACCAAAGTTCCGATTTTCAGCTTCTCCTGAAGACTCTGACCAAAGGTGACAGCAGCTGGCCTGACCACACCCTCCAAGTCTGTGCCCACCTGCTGGACTCATTCACTTCTCCTATCCAGATCCAAAAGGAACCTGACTCTGCCATTCCTGCTTTAAAAACAATGGGATGGCCACAAAAACTAGTGAAATGCAGGAATTTGACAAGGGATAACACTGATGTTGGAAAATATCACACTAGCCAGGGAGAGAAAGAGTTACTTTCTGCAGACCCAATTTGGGTCCTGCAGACTCTGATTCTTAAAGCAAGTGGTATGCTGGGGATGCTGGGGAAATGATTAGAAACAAAATCTCCTACCAACCCACAAAACATCTCCACAGAAGAGTAGGACAAGTTTTGTTACTGAATAACCAATAAGCCAGACTGTGATGCACATCACAGGCAATCCACTAAGACAGCCGCCCCCAACCTTTTTGGTACCAGGGGCCAGTTTTGTGGAAGACAATTTTTCCACAGACCTGGGGGTGGGAAATGGTTTCAGGATGATTCAAGTGCATTACATTTATTGTGCACTTTCTATTACTGTCATCACAGCAGCTCCATCTCAGTCACAGCACTAGATCCTGAAGGTTGGGGACCCCTGCAAAGAGACTGCAAAGACAGAAAGCAATCCCACCATTTTACACACCTCAGGATAACTCGGGACCAAGACCTCTCCTCAACCACGTGAGAATCAGGCTCTTTTGAGCCTGAACAGGTCCTGTCCTTGGCCATGTCTCCAAGGACCCAATTTTATAAAGAATCTTTCACTCAATCAGTTTAGCTGGAATCCCCTACCCTCCATATCAGCCCGAAGTCCCTAACCTGTACCATCTGACCACCCAGGCCTGCCGTCAACAGAAGTCCTGTTAGGTTGGTTAAGCCAGAACCCTCCCTGAGGTTCCTCTTGGCAATTATCTATTCACCAACCCGCTCCCTGCCCTCATATCCTATTGCTTGGCTATAAAATCCCCACTTTCCCTTGTTGTATCAGGAGTTGAGCCCAGCCTCTCCCCCTACAAAGCCCCACGGCAGCCTATCTACTGAACAGGTCTACTTCTCAGGAAGACTTTGCAGTACCTTTTGTCATGCGTGTGTGTGCGTATTAGTCACTCAGTTATGTCTGACTCTGCGTTCCCATGGACTGTAGCCTACCAGGTTCCTCTGTCCATGGAATTTTCTGGGCAAGAATACCAGAGTGGTTGCCATTTCCTTCTCCAAGGGATCTTCCCATCCCAGGAATCGAACCTGGGTTTCCTGCATTGCAGGCAGATTCTTTACCATCTGAGCCATGAGGGTCTGTCCTAAAGCTGTGGCCACTGGGCTTGCCTAATTGTCCTTCTCCAAAGGAATGATACAATTTCTCACATCTCTCTGTCAAGCAGATGGGTGCCCGGCTCTAAAGGGTAAGGTAGTGAAACTCTCAGGAGGCTGAGTGTTGGGATGCTACCTTCCTTGATGTTTATGTTTCAAAGAGGTACTCTAGGCCCTTATAGAAAAACCTTAACTGTAAAACTGGCCTTTTTCGCCTTTCAAAAGATTGACATTACAAAAGGACAGAGAAGACATAAGTTTTCTAAAAGAAACACTCTAGGAAAAGGGAGGAAAGTCTCTTTCCCTTTCTGCATTAGGGACAATTTAATTTTTTCCTATTTTTGATTTCTAGTTACCTTTAAGTGCAGTTTCTCTAGTGGTTCAGACAGTAAAGAATCTGCCTGAAATGCAGGAGACCTGGGTTCAATCCCTGGGTCGGGAAGATCCCCTGCAGAAGGGAATGGCAACTCACTCCAGTATTCTTGCCTGAAGAATCCTATGGACAGAGGAGCCTGGCGGGCTACTGCCCATGAAGTTGCAGAGTCAGACACGACTGAGTGACTAACACTTTCACTTTCTACCCTTAGGTAGACAACAGCTCTGATCCATGCACTTCAATCTATTCATTTTTATGAGGGTGTCATTTTCCTCACAGAAATACCTCACAATAAAAGGTAATGATGAAGAAGCTACCAAAAAATGGAAAGTGTTCAATACCTTCATAACTTCTTCCAGATACCGTGTTGAACTTCCATTGGCATATGCAGTTTGTACAACACCGAGACTCAAACCATCTCCAATCTAGACAAAAACAAGGACAATTACCTTGCCATCAAAGGCAAAGACCCTACAAAAGCAAACCTACAAACAGAGTTCTAAAGAATGACAAAATTATCAGCCAGTCTGGCCATCACTTAGTTTTATGCAATAAACAACTCAACAGAAAATTTACATGTATGCAAGGAAAAAACCTAAGTACGTTTTTGAGTATTATTTAAAGCAATTCTACAAGAAATTCTTTTTAATCACCTAATTTCCTTTATATTACTCCACGGATTACATTAGGATTCATTCTTAGTGTTGTATATTCTGCAGGTTTGGACAAATGTATAAGAACATGTTTCTATGTTTATAATATGTAGTCTTTTCAGCCCTAAACAAATCCTGTGCTCCATCTATTTATCCTTCAGCATTCATCTCTCCCCAACCCCTTGAAACCACTGATCTTTTAACTGTCACCACAGTTTTTGTGGGTTTTTCTTTTGCGGAATATCCTATAGTTGGACCCATAGTGATATACACAGCCCTTTCAGTTTGACTTATTTCACTTAGAAATATGCATTCACATTTCCTCCATGTCTTTTCATGGTTTAATAGTTTTTTTTTTTTAACTGTTGAATAATACTCCTTTGTCTGGAGGAACCAAAGTTTATTCACCTATGAAGGACATCTCAGTTGCGAAAGAATCATTTTTAGAGAAACCTGTCATTTCTTGATCTCTTCAGTTTTTAATAAAAATACACACTGAATTCTTAAAGTGTGCCTTTTCCATATTATGATAATTATCATTACATTTTATACGTAAAGCTAATCTGAGATTTCCAAAAGAGCATAACATAATAAACCTAAGTTTATGATAATCATAGTAAATAAATCCCTTAGAGGAGACTTTCTATATAAACTCAAGGCTCTGGGGAATGATGTTGATGGAACCCTCATTAAAATGTCAGTTACCGACTTCCTGGGTGGTCCAGAGGTTAAGACTTCATGATTCCACTGCAGAGGGTGTGGGTTCAATCCCTGTTTGGGAAACTACATGCCCCATATTTTGGCCAAAACAAAAAAAAAAGGCAGCTATGAAGAAACCAGAACTTTGTAAAGTTCCAAATCATGAAGCTCTCTGCCAGTACAAAAAACAAAAGACTACTCCCTCTGGGTTCCAAAACCAGAGCCCTAATGTTGAAATGACTGGAATGACCATTTCTTTTTGTATTTTCTGGTCACAGATGTGAGGAACTTCCCACAAATCACGCCTCTGAGATGTTCAAGCAACTGCCTGATACAGAACAATTTCCTCAGTGAGTCTGGTCTGAAAAGGTGGTCAGCCCCAGCACCGTACCTCCAACAAGAGCTCTTTGAGGAAACCGCTAATGAGGGTGGCTATCTTATCTCCGTCTATGAGATGGAACCGACCATCTGCATCACGGTAGTAGTAAACGATCCTGTCCGCATCTCCATCAAAGGAGCAGCATCTTTCATTGGCCTTCATTTCAATTCCTAGCACCGAGAATAAATCAAAACACATTTCCGTCTAAGAAAGGGGGATAAAATTGAATGTAAAAAGTTTTAGGTTTTTCTCTCACACTAGTTACAGAGGGAAATTTTTTTTCCATGAAGTATTGATTATAAGTGACCCTCTGTGTTATACAGAAGCATGTACACTATGACTTTTCAAGAGGTGTTTAAAATTATCCTTCCAGGACTTCAGCAATATTAAACATGTTCTAGGTAAAGAGTGAGCTTGTCCTTAAGATTATAAAAATCAAATTTCAGCTAAACAAAGTTTCTCCCAATTTGTGAACTGAAGACCAGTTAAAAGGAACAACTGTCTTTGTACCTGCAGATAAAGAACCATTACTATCCTTACGTGATCAAGCAGAGGGTATAATCAAATATAAGTAACTGGAGTATTTTGTCAATGAAGAAAATCCTGATCATTCCTCCTGTCTGAAGCTCTACATAAACATATATTATTTTTGAACATTAATGGAGATAACTGTTTCCAAATCAAGGGAAGAGAATTCATTTACATGGAAATAAAATATATAAAAAAAAAAAAAAAACACTCTTCCAAATAAAACCAGTATCTTAACCTTTAAATAGTAAACAGGTTTCCTGGTATTTTTACACGGTAAATTCTTTCACAGCTAAGTGAAAAAAAGAGCATTCAAAATCTATCTAAGCTGAAACCCTATATAATACTAAAATAAAACTCCCTTCCAGAAGCCAGTGGTTTGGCAACACAGATTCCCACATAGTGCTTTGAAAGCTATAGGTATTAAATTGAATTCAATTTCCCTTGTACTACGCCCATCCTTATATAAAAAATAATCAACAGCAGATACGGTATATACTTTAACCCTGAAAAAAGTGATTTTCATTTGTTTACATCATCAGTAACAAGAAACACTGGTATTTAAGAGCAAAAATTTACAACCTGTGAGATTAATGTCTTGTGCAATTTGCCTAGTTTACTGAAACCTGAGCAACCATCACATCAAATTTTAGACATGACTGTTCCTTTAGCACAACAGATGGACAAATCTACCCTAGACCTACAGAATCAGACCCAGGAAATCTATGTGCTCACCGGCTTTCCAGGGGATTCTTACGTCTGCTAAAGCTTAAGAATCACTGCTCTAATCTCACATCCTGATTTTGCTCTCTCCACCAGATCTGCTGCCCCTGTGAAGAGTCCCAAGGCCCTCAGGGCCGAGAGCAGCCGTGCTCTGCGCGTCACCGCATGGCAACGGCAAGCGGACGAGGCCCAGATGTCTCACGGCCGCGGCCAGACAGCTGCATGACTCTCCCGTCGCCACCTCTGTTCCAGAGACTGGTTTCAGGCAGAGCGCTAAAAACACATTTTCCGCATACCCTGTGGAGGTTTCTGATGACTTTTCACAAAGTCAGCCCCACATAAATGATTGAGTTTCCCTTTGGTCCCATCGTTGAACAGCTGAACTGACAGCCCCTGGGAGAAGTAGTGTTTCATTTCTGCCAGCTTCAGGGCGCCTATGCCGTTTGCACAGTCAACCTTCAGTGTCCTATGGTCATCTCCACTGCAGAAGGCCTGAAGTGGAAGAAAAATTTCAAGATACCCAAGTGAAGCATAAAGCACAGGTATGTATATGTAAACATCTTCCATTATTTCAGTTAACTTGTCTATTTTAACCCAGGAAACAAAAGGGTACACATTTTCATATGAAAACTGTAATGTTTTAAAACACCACTTTTTGTTCACAGATATTGGAAAAGTTTTACAGACCAAATAAATTACAGAAATGAAGCTTTATTATAATTTAGCAAGGTCCCCTATCAGTCTGTATTCCCTAGCAGTCACTCAAATGTGGGCATGAGTATACAGATGAATGAGTAGCAATAATATCCGTCATTCTCTTCACAGTGTATTACACCACTGGGCAAGTGGATTTTTCCCGGCAGTCTCCTCTCCTACCCACCCTCACCCCAAAATGTAAGTTCTATGAGAGCAAGGACTTGGTTTTGGTCAACAATTCCTGACAATAACATATGCTCAATATTGGCTGAGCAAATGAATCATACCCCTCAAATCTCTTTGTTCAGGTTTACGAAGCTAGTACACCTTGAAGAAAGATTTTCTTAACAGTAGATGCTTCCAGTGTGATGCCAACAGCACCTACAGTAACTCTAAGAGCAAACTCATCTGCATGAACACTTATGAAAACTGCAAGTTCACCACGCTTCTCCCCCAGTGAGCTCAAAATGAGACAGGCTGCCACTTGAGACCCTTTGCTACAGTGCCTGCACCTGGACAGTCTCCTCCAGCAACAAAATACAAAGAAGAGAAGGACTGAAAATAACCGCATGGATGCAGTCAGGGCAAATTATGGACAAGACACCAAAAACCATCCCAAAACACCCAACTGCTACTTCTGAAGAGCTGGGAGGAAAAGCAGGGTACTGTGCATGCCCCCTGCACACGACACCAGCTAAGGAGTGGACACACCACCTAAGCCCTCCTCTAGCCAGGACCCTGGACACGCCTCTTCCCTCCAATGTAAGGAATCACCTTGGCCTCCCCTCAGCAAGCGAGCGAATCTGTGGTTTTTGCTCCCTTCTGCTGCAGCAGGGGCCCCAATAAAGCTCTGCCTGAATTTGTCTGGCCTCTTACCAATTTCTACTGATTAAGGAAGCCAAGAACCCTAGTTGGTAACAAGAACATACTATGTGCCTTGCCAAGTAAATGCCAACACAGAGTTAGCTGGGTACAAGGGCCAGACCTTGCAGTGCCCTGGAAAGAAAAAGCAGACAGGCCAAATTTTTGGAAAGAAGAGTGACAAATATTTAAATGAACTGTTCAACTGATGCTCTTTTAAGCAACCGCTCAAACTCTAACCACATTGGAGAGATTCCAACCTGTTTGGTGAGTTCCACAAAGGCCGAGGACAGTTTCTGGTAGTAACCTTCGGCAGTTGCCTTTCCATACTGGCCTTTGCTGTTTCGACAGAAGACCATGTAGTGCAGCTGCGGCGTTGTCAGCAAGCCATAATCTGTCAGAGAAATACAAAAAGCCATTTAACACAGTTCTTAACAAAGTTTAAGGCTCATACTGTGTCAATTTCAGGGTCATAAATCCTCTTTAAAAAAAGACATCTCAGAAAATACAAGAAACGCTAAGTTTTAAACCACTCAGAAATATGCATAAACATCCACTGAAGTCATTAAAACTACAGGTCATGCTGTGATACAGTGATTTATACTAAGAATCATTCATTTGATCTGTCTCCATTTCTGGCAGAGCCTCCACAGAAAGGCATCTTTTGTTATGCTAATAAGGTGACTTTCAGAAGGCTCTTAGAAACCTTAGGGGTGGCAGCTGGTTGCCAGGAAACCAGCCACAGGATTAGAGAACTGAAACTTACAGTCCTCCTCGCCCCCCTCCAACCTCCTCCCAAACTCCAGGGAGGGGAGAAAGGAGGGACAAGAGACTGAGTTCAAACACCAAAGATCTAAGCGGCCATGCCTATATAAGGAGGCCTCCATAAAAACCCTGAAGGATGGGGAGCCTGTGGGGACTGCAGTGCCCAGGGAGCATGGATGCTCCACACCTCTCCCGACACAAATCTGTACCATCTGGCTGTTCCTGGGTTACGCTCCTTACAATAAACTGGTACTCTAGGAAGTAAAATGTTTCCCTGAGTTCTATGAGCCTACCTAAACACATTAACTGACCCAAGGAGAGGGTGGTCAGAAGCCCAGGTGACGGCATCTGAAGGTGGGGAGGGGCAAGCTTTGAGGCCCTGAGCCGTGCACCCGTGGGATGTGGCCGCCGGGTGGATGGTGTCAGAATGAACTGTTCGGTGGTGGAAAAAGAGGCACACGCGGGACACATACTCAGTTCTAAACGAGATATGAACTACTAACAACAGCAAAACCAGTCATTTGGTATAGATCAGTGGCCATGTACAAAAGTAATAACTGAGTTCTATTTTCATAACATTATAAACTACGCAATTCGGACGAACCCTCCTTTTAAAAACAACCAAAAATGAAAGATAAAAGACTTTTATTTCTTTTCAAAAAGAACTGCAGTACTATTAGGCCAAAGTTAAGAGAGAATTCCAGGATGCAAGATAAGAGAAGCCAGTTTTGCTCTGAGGGCATTCCTCTAAACTAGGAGTTGAGCAACGGTTCTCTGTGTAGAAGGTCCATGCTGATCTAAGACGTGCAACCTGGCAGAACAGCCTTCGAGAGCCTGATGCCCCAAAGGACTGTTCTTCAAACCAGAATTCGCATTACACACCCCAAGGTCCACTGCAGCACCATTTACAATATTACAACAGCCAAGACATGAAGCAAACTAGGTGTCCACTGACAGAGGAACGCTGAAAGCAGATGTAGTACATATTACGATGGGTTATTACTCAGCCATAGAGAAGACTGACTAATGCCACTCTCAGTAACATGGATGAACCTAGAGATTATCACACTAAGAGAAGTAAGCCGAAGACAAGTATCATGTGATATCACTCATATGTGGAATCTAATTTTCAAAAAGTGATACGAATGAACTTATTGACAGAACAGAAACAGACTCTCAGGCTTCTAAAACAATCTTATTGTACTGAAGGGGAAACATGGAGGGGAGGGATAAATTAAAGAGGTTGGGATTAACATATACACACTACTATATACAAAATAATCAACAAGGACCTACTGTATAGCACAGGGAACTCTATTCAACATTCTATAATAATCTACATGGGAAAAGAATCTGAAAAAGAATGGATATGTGTATAACTGAATCACTTTCTGTACATCTGAAACTAAATGTTCTCAATCAATTATAATCCTATATAAAATGGATGTGAGAGTTGGACTATAAAGAAAGCTGAGCGCTGAAGAATTGATGCTTTTGAACTGTGGTGTTAGAGAAGACTCTTGAAGAATCCCTTAGACTGCAAGGAGATCCAACCAGTCCATCCTAAAGGAGATCAGTCCTGAATATTCACTGGAAGGACTGATGCTGAAGCTGAAATTCCAGTACTTTGGCTACCTAATGTGAAGAACCAACTCATCTGAAAAGACCCTGATGCTGGGAAAGACTGAGGGCAGGAGGAGAAGGGGACAAGAGAGGGTGAGATGGTTGGATGGCATTACCGACTCTATGGACATGAGTTTGAGTAAGCTCCAGGAGTTGCTCAACAGGGAAGCCTGACATGTTGCAGTCCATGGGGTCATAAAGAGTTGGACACAACTGAACAACTAAACTGATATAAAATAAAAATTAAATTTTTTAAAAGAAGGACTACTCTTCAGTGCAGAACTTCCCAGGTGGCTCAGTGGTAAAGAATCTGTCCGCCAATGCATGAGAGGAGGCTTCGATCTCTGGGTCGGGAATACCCCCTGGAGGAGGAAATGTCAGCCCACTCCAGTATTCTTGCCTGGAAAATCCAAAGGACAAAGGAGCCTGGCGGGCTACAGTCCATGGGGTTGCAAAAGAGTCGGACACAACTTGGCAACTAAACAACAACAATTCTTCAGGGCAAGACTGAGTCAGAAGTGAGTAAGCCCCCAGGGCCTCCTCCCCAGACTTGGCACCCAACAGAGCAGAGTGGAAAGTCCATTCCTGAAGAGCTGTCACCACAAGTACAGGCCTCCAGGGATTCCCAGCCCAGAGGCACATAACCACAAGAAGAATGCTGTCGTCAGAGAACCTTATCACCCACCAGCCGGGTAGTACCCCGAGCAGATCAGTCAGGGCAATACACCTTCATTGTAAACCTCAAAAATGTCCCACAGATAATTTTCCCAGAAAACAAACAGCTTACAGTCAAAAGTACCTAAACACATATGAGAAAGAAGCAAGAGAAACAGCAAAAGTGGACCAGGACTCAATAAATATACTGTGACAAAATTTGTCAATGGTCTTCAAAGTCAAGCACAAGAGTCTGGACGAAGGCAAACAGTCACTTTAGGTTCTTGAGCACTGCAGCTGTGTAACAGAAATGGTATTTTGTGAAGGCAAGGTTGGCCCTGGTTTAAGGATTAGATGGGAGGAGGTGGAAGAGCTTAAAAAAAAAAAAGTGGGTAAAGGCTCAGACCAGCTCAGTGGCAGTGTATAAGGAGAGACAAACAACAGTCCAAAGACACACACCGAAGGCTGAACCAAGTGGATTTTGTGAGCAGTGTCAAAATTACAAAACAAACATTTACTAAATGACAGTGACTCAATAAAAACATCACCATCCGTTCTACGGATCAACCCAGAAACCTGGCAGCCAACACCTCTAACCTCACCATGAATCACAAAAATCCTTTAAATTCATTACTAATTTCACCTTTTCCCATTTTTCTCACTAGCACTCAAGTCTTGCATGAATCTACTACATAGTCTCCTAGCTGGTTTCTCTTCCTTTCTAATGACCAACTGCCTCCTCTCTCTAAACCACAGCCAGAGGGACTGACTTAAAGGGAAAATGTGATCCTTATTCACCGGCATAAACTCCTTCAGCGGACTCCCACTACACTGAAAGTAAAACCCCAATCCTCCCCACGACCTGTAAGGCTCAGAATGACCCGGCCCTGCTCACCTCCCTAACCCTATCTTCTAGTAGCTTCTCCCAGTCTCTGTGAGCTGCAGCCATATCAACTGCCTTTGATTTCCTGAAATACATTAAGTGGAAGACAGCAATGAGCAAAAGGTGTTTGTTTTTTTTGTTTTTAAATCACTCTCAAATTTTTCTAGGTTAAAACACTAGAAGAGTGATGGTTCTAGAGTTACAATGAAAGAGCTGGACACGTCAACCATTCTGCAGATGGCAGAAAGATCACAATTTGGGGCAGGGTGAACCTGGGGAGGGGGCAGGCACATACGAGGAAACATGACTCAGACCAGTGCTTTCAAAACCACCTGCTGGACATCCCTGGTGGTCCAGTGGCTGGGCACCCACCTGCCAGAGCAGGGGATGCGGGTTTGATCCCCGGTCAGGGAGGATTCCGCACGCCATGGGGCAGCTGAGCCCGAGAGCTGTGACTGCTGAAGCCCGAGCGCCTTGAGCCTATGCTTGGCAACAAGAGAAGGCGCCGCGGTGAGACGGCTGCACACCGCAACTAGAGAGCAGCCCCCACTCGCTGCAACTAGAGAAAGCCCACATGCAGCAACGAAGAACCAGTGCAGCCGAAAACAAAATTTTTTTTTTTTTAATTATTAAACAAACAAAAACCCTCCCAGAGGCCAGGGAATCTACTTAGAGAGACCCAGTCAGCATTCCTCCATTTTTTAATGAAACAGATGAACGCATGTCATGGAGGAAGGTAAGAACTATTCTCTGAAAACTGTTTCAGTTATTCACACAAGCACATTAGACACATGTCATGATACAAAATGGGTTTCTTACCACAGGCTGAGCTATGCCATGAAATGGGACTCCTGACGGGTTCTACATAGCAGGTAGTCAAAACTGTCTGATGAATTGATGAGTGAATGAATAAAAGAATATTTGCAGCTGGAGCTATGGCAGCAAGGATGCTCATTCAGAAATGAGACAGAATGAAAGCAAGAAGTGAGGAAAGCCTGTATTAGGAGAGACAGAAGAGGATCCGGCGAACAGAACAACATGGTACAGTGGTCGAGGAAGCAGGGGAAAAGGAGGGAGAGATCAGCTGAAATAAAAAATTTAAAGTGTAAGTTCTGAGAGTTAGTCTTAGATCACAGATCCCTTTGCGTATCTGACAAAAGCTACAACTTCTCTCTGTAGACCAGCGCTTGTGCAGGTAACACGGTGCACTCTACCCACAGGTCCACAGGGTTCGGCAGCTTAACCAAACACTCCTGGGGAGGCCCAGGCCCCAGGTGAATTCCTGCTTTCTAGCAGGTGAGTTCCCTGGAGGGGCTAGGACGGGGATTCACTGCCAGTAGGCTTATTGTGATCAGAAGAGCAAATAGAGAAGCAAATCAGGCGAGTCCGGAACAGGCCAGGTTAACTGGGAATTGAGGAACACCTGGGAGGTTGAGAGGATCAAGAGAAGACACTTCTAAATGAGAGAGATCTGACACCAGGAAAATTCAGCTCCAAGCACAGTGGAGTCACTGCATTCACAAGATGCACAACCAATGTGAGAAGAGGATTCCAGCCTGTTTCATTGCATTCAATTCTTCGCTTGGTAAAATAGGAAAGATCCCCTATCAAAACCTAAAAATCATGATTACAAGTCGGTCAAAGGTATTTTTCATCATTATTTGTCACACTGACTCCACACATGATATTAGAGAATACCTGCCTGATAGTAACAAGAACTCCCCAGAATGAGTTTTTCAAGTAACTTCAAGGGTTTTTGTATCAGTATGATCAGCCTTACCAAAGAAGCTGTTTAAGATCAGCACTGCCTACAGATTATCTCCTACAGGTAGAATATAACATGCATGACCAGAAAAAAAATTTTTTTTTTAATTTCTAACTTAAAATGCTAGTAGCTTATATCTACAAGTTCACTTTAATTTTATTTTCAAACTTTCCTAAATTAAATTATGTATTCACTTTGAGATTTTTTTTTTTAAGATTAATTTACAAATCAGAACAAGTACATACCATGGAACTGACCACCTAAAACTGTCACGCCGTCTATTACAGACTGTGAAAGTTTCTCACTGCTGGGCCTAGGAAGGAAAAGGAAGAAAATATTACATCTAATCCAAGACCAACTGAGCTGCAAGTTCTGAAAGCAAATGCAGAAATTCTGGGTTACAAATTTCAGAATAAGTCCACTGTATTCAAACTAAATGAAACCTGAATAGCCCAAAAACTCTGAAAAGAAATATGGGTAAAGTAAGCATTTTCCAGTAGCCTTTCTCAACATGTTTCTTGGAAAGAGTTTTGCCTTTTAAATGAATTTAGGAAATAGATATAAACTTTAACACTAATATAACTGTAACACTAATTACTGCTACACTCAAACACTTTTTCAAGTTTGACGGTAACAACACATTTACTGCTTGAAAACAGTAACGGTAAATACACACAGTGTGTAAGCCAAGGCTAGGTGTTAAACCACCAAGGATAGAGAATCTAGTTTTCATGTTAAAAAGTCAGAATAAATTATTTTTCTATCTGAAAATAAAGATCAATATACATACCTGCTTTATAGAACAAGATTTTCTGTATCATTTAAACTAGTTAACAGGTGAGGGAAAATCACATGTGGATGGATTTACCGTGAGATGGTATCTGCTTCAGAACATAAACCACTTGGCTATTCATTACCTACAAACCCACAATCAGTGGTAACACATTAAGGGTAAAACACTTAATGGGTAAGGGTAAAATGGTAAGGCATTTGGAGACTAAGTAGAAATTTACTTTAGAACACATCTCTGGCTAGAACCATATCTTATGCTAAAGAGAATGCTTCTGTTCCAAAGCATACTTTTAACCTAACATTTTACAGTAACACTTCTCTGTGAAAGAAGGCAAGAGTTGCTAAACGTGACAAACATGTAGAAATAATATAGATGGTTAACGCTTTCCAACAAACTCTAGCACAGGAAAGTGATGTGTGAGCCAACAATAAGGTTATAGTTTCTAAACATAGTTAAGTAATAATCACATGTTCTTACCCTACAGGGGAAAGGCTCAAACCTACAGAAATAAAGGGAGAAATAAAGAAATAAAGGGAGACATTTGGAAAGTGCCTGTCTTGTGCCAGGAAACAGGTGTATCGTCTACGTGATCTTATGTAATCCTCAGGAAGTCCAGCAAGATGTAAGCTCACCATCAACACTACAGGTGAGCAAAGGTACGCTCCAAAAGGTTAAGTGACTTGCTCAACTCATGCAGAAAGCTTGAGAGTTGGGGCTCGGATAGCAAGCCCAAGCTGTAGCGGTGACTTAACTCCTACATCCTACTGAGAAGACCAGGAGGAACCTCTCAGGGTGGTTCCATTCCACTTGACTCTTTCCATTTGTCTTGGGTGCTAAAATTGATACAACCATTTATGTGGCATTCAAAAATCAGCTTTCACCGCGGCTCTGACAGGCACCTGGTATCTCTACCAATCACCACGAAGGCATCTTGGTGCAGATCCACGGCTTCCTTCTCGCTGATGTCCACCAACACTCTCGGCAAATGTTGTTCCTCAGCGTTTGCCAAGGAGATGGCATGCTCCTCCCAGGATGCTGCCAACATTTCACCCAAAGGATCCACCAATTTTACACCATTGTCTTCCTAAAAAAAAAAAAGAATAGTAATAAGTCATCTGTGCACAGTCATGAGGGAGAGGTGAGGAAGTAAACCCAAGCTGTTTCCCTCCCAACAAAAGGCAGTGACGGCTGGGCAGTTTCACTGGTGACCACGACTGAAGGCCAGGTGCTAGGCCAGGTATTGTACGTACATCACCTCAGTAAATCCTCACGACACATGTCATCAATCTAACTAATCCTCCTGTGGTTACGCCACTCTCTGAGAACACTGAGATTTAGAGCAAGTCATCTGCTTATGTTCATACAGCTAGGAAGTATCAGTGCTGATGTAAAAACATCAAGTCTATCTGACTCTTACACCCAACAGCTGCTGTGCCACGCTAGCTTTTTAAAAGGCTGTCATCTGTGCATTCACCATCAGTTAACTGATAAGGCACAACTGTAGCAGACCCAGGGCCCCTGGAGATCCTTCTCCTTGTGGCTGCACTCAAAAGCACACACTAGAAGACAAGAGCTCAAAATTGTTTGAAGAAGTGCTTCTTTTTAAAAAAAAAAAAATTATTCCTTTATTTGGCTGCACCAGGTCTTAGTTGCAGCATGTGGGATCTAGTTCCCTGACCAGGGATCGAACCTGGGCCCCCTGCATTGGGAGCTCAGAGTCTTAACCACTGGGCCAGCAGGGAAATCCCAAGAAGTGCTTCTGGAATTAACAATAAATTTGGGGTTCTGCCTACAAATCATTAAGCAAGTGTGGTGATTTAGACATTTAAACACTTAACATAGTTATAACAATCCACATTTAAAAGCTGAATAAGCAACATCCTCTTGTTTTGCCTCCCCTGAGGGGGGCAGGTGTGAGAGGAAGAAGTTACAATCTTTCACTAACCCACAGCTTTAACTTGCTGCTGATTTAGCTACAAAGGCAAAAGTCTAGCAACAGAACAGAACAGAAGCAAATTATTTAAAGTTATAGGCCAGTACACAATAAGATAATTAAGTTGTGTCAGAGGAATACTTTAAAAAACTTGATTGTCATAAACCCTAGACTCATCAGGCCTGATCAATATCCTGTCCAATGTTCACTTCTGGATCCCTGAAGCCAACATGTCCAGCTATTCACCCTCACAACAGGAGACTATTCCCTAGTTAAAGAAAAGCTGTCTGAAAATTTTCAAAGTGTGCTATGTCCTTTCAAAAATTTGTTCTCTCACCAGCCCAGGTTGGGTGCACGAGACAAGTGCTCGGGCCTGGTACACTGGGAAGACCCAGAGGGATCGGGTGGAGAGGGAGGTGGGACCGGGGACCGGGATGGGGAATACATGTAAATCCATGGCTAATTCATTTCAATGTATGACAAAAACCACTGCAATGATGTAAAGTAATTAGCCTCCAGCTAATAAAAATAAATGGAAAAAAAAAAAATTTGTGTTCTCCCCTCCCCAGCTTGCCTCCAATCTCTTCAATCTCTGCCACATTAACAGAGGCAACACTGTTTATTACTGATGATGTCTCAATACAACTAAGTTAGAAGGACATTGTGTTATTTCTCAATATGGACACACTCCAAAAATTGACTGTCTCATTTCACTCTCTCTACAACTGTTAAAGAGTTGTGAGCGAAATGACCACTTGTTAAGAAAAGTGCTTGTTCAAAACCAAAGGCGTATAACAAGGAAAAAGCAAAGTACTAGAATTAGAATTTGAGTTGGGGTCAAAGTGCTCAGAAACTAAGGTTTGGTCTTGGAAATAAAAGCTTGTCTTACTGGAGCACTAAATGCATTACCTCAGGATTGTGTGACGCTGTTACCATGACTCCTATGATAGATTTTGTCTGCTTTGACCTCAGGACAGCTAATAATCCCATTCGAAACATGACATGATCAAGATGTTCTGCTTTCGTTCGAAATCCAGCAGTCCCATATTGAAGGGTGAGCCCGTCAGGCTTGGCATGTAATGCTGACTGCTTTGTAACAGCATCTAAATCCATGTCTGCAAAATAAAGGAATATTTTTCAGGTATAATAAGAAACCTTCCAAGGACCACTTGCTTCAAAACCTGTCATCCCAAACTAATACATCTGCCTCATTCTGACCCTCCCAAAGAAGCCTACATTTGAGACAGAAGAACAGTAGAATACATCTCGTGGGTTAGAATTATCTGTTTTGTCCACTTCAAGACAGAAATCAGGTTGTCCCCAACAATTCCAGGACACAACGCAAACTTTAAACAGTCCACTCCCAACTAACATGAAGATTCCACTGCACAACAAAAGATGCTGAATAATCAAAGCACTCTTGAGAACAAAGCTGGAGGCACCACACTCCCTGATTTCAAAGCACACTGCAGAGCTACAGTAATCCAAACAGTATGGCCTTGGTATAAAAAAATATCAATGGAACAGAACAAGAGCACCTAGAAATAAATCCACACATATGACCATTTACGATTCACAAAATCCTACGTGATCAGGGATCATCTAATTTTATACATAGGAAAACGTAATTCTGGGTCTAGCTTATACAACCTAAATTTTACATGGAGAGTTGCTGATGGACTGAGGCCTAAAGTCACATTCTCAAGTGGACCTGAGCTGCATATGCAAAATATCTGGTAAATCTTTGAAGTTCTGCTATTCCTCCCAGGCTACAGAGACTGATTTCCAAAGGAGAAGCAAAGGGGAAAAGCCTCCTCTCCAAGACTGTCCAGACCTCCACATACACCATGGGGTGGATTTTTGTATTTTCATAAGGGAAGATCCTGACGCCCTCCTAAATTAAGCTCTGAAACAAGCAACATCTTCCTTTTATCTTTAATTTTGAAGTCAAAAGTCAGCCTGTAGCCCCCTAGGCTTCCTTGTTCTCTTTATTGTCCTTCATTGCTTCAATGAACATTTTATTTTGTTCAGCTGAAAAAAACTGGCATTTAGGAAGCTAATTTAGTTTGACCCAGAGTGATCAAATCTATTTTTCAAGCATGAAGACATTTCAATAAAAACTGACCAGTTGGCAATATACCATAATTATTCATAAGGGCGTAAAACTGTTTCGTCCAAAAGTCTTTAAAAAAAAAAAAAAAGTCAAGATAAAATGCTTCCATCATTTCAAGCGTTTTATGTCCTAAAACTACTTTTGATGAGTATGCAAAGGTGTTTATTGAAAGTACGGTCAAGTCCAAACTATGACCACTCAAAAAAGCTAAGAACGATCCCCTTCCCTCTTTTCAACCTTCAGCACCTAGTTAGTTCTCCTCTCTCCTCGCCCCTGAATCTTCCCACGTTTCCTGGCACCCAGCCTTGTGGCCCGCACTGAGGTGATGGACGAGATCCCTTCCCCCAGCTCGACTCTCGGGCCCGAGCCTCCAGCCCGCTCCCCAGCCCGGGACGAGTAGGCGTGTCCCTCGCGGCCCGCAGCTCAGTACGCCAGCCAGCCCACTAGCCTCACGGGCGGCCGAATCCCCGCCCACCGCAACGTCCCGTTCTCGCCGCCAAGCCTCGGGGCCCCGCTCACCTCCACCGACACACTCCCCTCACCCCCACCACGCGGACCACCTTCCTCGCGGCGGCGCCGGGAACTGACTGCGGCGCTGAGACTCCGAAGACGTGGCTCTACGTGGCTTCCGGCTTGTTGCCCCGCCCCTCAGCCAATCAGCACGGGGGACGGCCTGCTGGCCCCGCCCCTCCTCCGCGCCCGTCACGCGCGGCTCGCGCCTGCTGAATTGCGGATCCGCGTTGCGAGGTTGCGAGAGGGTTTGGGGCTGTTTCCCTTTGAATGACCAGGAAGGGTGAGGCCCCCGCGGTGGCCCGGGGGTTGGGGCTGAGGGTCGCGGGCCCTCAGAGCGCTGCGACCGGCAAAAAAGAAAAAAACAAACGCAGCCCCTGACTCCAAATTCGGGTGTCAGAGGGTGGCAGGCCCACGTTCCTGGGAAGGCGGGGTTCCGAGTGGTCCTGAGTGGGGAGGGGGTACAAGCCCCGAAACGGGACCGCTAACAAGGTGGTCCCAGCCCCAGTGAGCGCCACTCGGCTCCCGGCATCCTACTTCTCTACTCTCGAGGTTCATCTCCCAAACGTTTTCTTCTGGGAAGCTTTCTGGAGCCGCTCCTGCCCTCCCCGCATTAAACGTCATTTTATTTACTTGGAAGACCCCTGTCATTAAGGCAGAACCCCAGGGGGCAGAAGCCAGGTGGATCCAAATCCAAATTGTCGGGACTCACATTTGCCGTCCGGGTCCGGAGTGGCTCCTGGGAGAGGCGAAAGGCCCACCCGGCAGGGGTCGGTGGCGCAGAGTCCGCGGGGGCTGCAACTGGCGTGGAGCGTGGCGGGGCCCAGAAGACCCCGGAACCTCGCCGATACTGCGGGCCTCTCTGGTCGCTGCGGACACCGCCGCCCAAGCCCCACACCTGGGTGGGATTTGGAAGCTGGGCCCCTCGCCCTTCCCAGAATTCAAGCTTGCAGTGTCCGCAGGTGGTGTTTGCCAGCCATCTGCAACGGGATAACTCCGAACACTTGTTGAAAATCCAGATTACCTGGACCTAGATCGGAAGCCGGGGGGCGGGGGAAAAGAGAATCTGAATTTTAACGACGCATCTTGGGAGATGTGTATGCTAGATTTGGGGGTCAGGAAATAAAGCGGAAGAGTTTAAGTGTCCCGCTTTGTGCCCATAGCTCTCGGTGCGTAATAGCGCTCCTGCAGAGCGGCTACCACGGAGAGGGAACTGCGGGAAATTTCCCTGGACACCGCCGACGCTGACAAACCCAGTGTCCCTGGGCCTTTCCAGTTCTCCTGGCAGGTTGATTGCGACTCAGCATGTCGGCTTCAATGAAGGAATGCCTTCAGCTTCAGCTGCTGGAGATGGAAATGCTGTTTTCTATGTTTCCTAACCAAGGAGAAGTAAAACTTGAAGATGTCAATGCCCTGACAAACATAAAGAGATACTTGGACGGCATAAGGGAGGCGCTGCCACCAAAAATCGAATTTGTGATCACCCTGCAAATTGAGGAGCCCAAGGTAGGTGCCCTGAGTTGTTTTCCTTGTTGCCAGGTTCCCGGGTTTTATTGAAAACACTTGGAGCCTGAGCTTCCTCTCCAAGAAGCAGATAGAGAATATTCCAGATGCATATTTCCTTTATTTGTTTGAAAGGAAAATATGGGATGTTAGTTGTCTCCAATAAAGATCTTGAATTTACATACGTATGCTCACCTTTTAAACCAGTATGGCTAGTGTTTTTATTAAACACATCTTGCAGTCTTATAGTGCCATTATTCTGTCACTTATCCAGTTTAACCAGTCCTACTACTGTGGTATGGACTATCTTGTACATATGTTATGATTTCCCCAGATCTAAATGTTGTCTTTTTGGCAGCACTGTTTTTAAGGAGTGAATGACTGTTTCTTTGGTGGCACCTTGACTCTGAAAGCAAATACAGATAGAAAATCTAAATTCTGAAAATGAATTGACCTTCATTTTCTGATCTGTTTATCTCCAGCAGTGTTAGCATAGCCCATGTAACAAGTGGTGCAGGCGTTTGAGAACCACTGTTGTTTACTTCTTATCCAGCCTTGGGTCATCATTCCTTCAGAGCAGACTGCCTGGCTCCCCCGACCTCATGCAGCCCCTCTGGTTACACATTTCAGTGGATTCCTCCACTCTTCCATGGCAGTGCTTCTCAGCTTTGCAATGAAATACTTCCTGCATGTAATGATTTGTTTAATGTCTGCCCCCTTCACTAGGCTCTAGACTTCATGAAGGACAGAACTAATGTCTAGCTTCTTGTGAAGAAGAAATATCTTGAAATATTTTTTTCAGCATAGGGTACCTGACACGTGGTCAGTGTTTGATGAATGTTGGAAGGAATGATTGCATCAATGGAAGGAGTTTATGTCTGTGTGTAAAATTGTGTTTGTCAAGTTGTGCAGTGTCTGGCACACAGCTGACATGTAACAGAAGCAGTAACTATTGTTGATACCTTGATCAGAATCATGCGGTGGCCATTAATAAACTAGCTTATGTGATTTTACGGTACTTATATCTATTTGCCTTTCATTTTAAGGTGAAAATTGACTTGCAAGTAACCATGCCTCACAGCTACCCCTATGTAGCGTTGCAGATGTTTGCACGGTCACCAGAACTTGATAGACAGCAGCAGCTGCTTCTCAACAGAGGCCTCACTTCTTACATCGGGACTTTTGATCCAGGGGAGCTCTGTGTGTGTGCGGCCATCCAGTGGTTGCAGGACAACAGCACCTCCTACTTCCTGAACAGAAAGCTCGTGGACGAACCATCGACACAAGCAAAACCAGTCAAGAACACCTTCCTCCGAATGTGGATCTACAGCCACCATATATATCAGCAGGACCTCCGGAAAAAGATCCTGGAGGTCGGGAAAAGGTTGGACGTGACAGGATTTTGCATGACGGGAAAGCCAGGGATAATCTGTGTGGAGGGCTTCAAAGAGCACTGTGAGGAATTCTGGCACACAATCAGGTACCCCAACTGGAAGCACATTTCCTGTAAGCATGCGGAGAGTATTGAAACAGAAGGAGACGGGCAAGACCTGCGCCTTTTCCATTCTTTTGAAGAATTACTCCTTGAGGCCCACGGTGACTACGGCTTGAGGAATGACTATCACATGAATCTGGGCCAGTTCTTGGAATTTCTCAAAAAACACAAAAGTGAGCATGTTTTCCAGATATTATTCGGTATCGAAAGCAAAAGTTCTGACTCCTAGGAAGCTATGAAGAGGCCTCTGTGAAGAGGCCTACATAACTAAGCTCACTAAGTTATATTTCTATTAATAAGAGCAAAATAAAAGGACCAGTAGCTGGTTAGCATCGTTGGTGGGGAACCTAGCTCCAGTATTTTTCCCTGGTATTGAAACAAACACATAAGCCTTTTAACTTTGTAACAGTGTGATGGCAATGTTACCTCTATGTTCTGGTATTAATTGAAAACTATTTTGTGGTAAACTAATAAAAGCCTGTCAGTCTAACCAGTGAAGCTAATTTGATTAAAGAAGCGTTTTCAAAGCCCAGCTGAATGGCAGTGGTCAAACTGCAGCTGCTGCTCCTAAGTCGCTTCAGTCGTGTCTGACTCTGTGCGACCCCATAGATGGCAGCCCACCAGGCTGGGATTCTCCAGGCAAGAACACTGGAGTGGGTTGCCATTTCCTTCTCCAGTGCATGAAAGTGAAAAGTGAAAGTGAAGTCGGTCAGTCGTGTCCGAGTCTTCACGACCCCATGGACTGCAGCCTACCAGGCTCCTCCGTCCATGGGGTTTTCCAGGCAAGAGTACTGGAGTGGGGTGCCATTGCCTTCTCCCAGACTGCAGCTATGAACTCATAAATACTAACATTTCTCCTTTTCCTGTTGCTAGCAGGCCGGGGACACCACACATTTTTCTTAAGTTAAAAATAGGAACTAAGAACACGTGTTTACACATTTCTTAAACTCTTCTATGTGGGGTTTTTCCTTTCAGTAAAATCAAATGCTAACTGTAACGGTGGTGACACTCTGCCCTGTGTTGTGTACATCGATTGCTTAGTAATACTGAGGATCATGTACCAATATTCTTAGTTGGGTTCTTCTCAGAACCAAATATGGTTTCTTGTGCACACAGTGTCCCACAGATTGTGCACTTGGGTCTTCTTCCCGTGCCGGTTTGCATCGTTCTGTGGGGCAAGGGCATTGGGAAGGACCAGTATGGATGGCCCTTCACTGTCACCTTCCTAGAAGGCAAAAGTGATGTCACCACCATCTCCCCTGAAAATTTCAAGCTCCACAGTCTTCACCAGCCTTCGTCAAAATGAGAGTTTAACGATAATAGCCCCTGTTTAAGCAGCTCTTACCAAACCTTTTTATTACAAGGCATCTACCCCTCGCCAGGAATTTCTGGGAGTCTCCCCTCCGGTGAAGGACATTCCTGAGCTATCTCTACTCTGGTTTCTTGGTCTCGGTCTCTTTACTACTGCCCTTTCCTGGGGAGCAGTCCATTCTCCTGCTGGGTGACAGGCAGTCCACTGATACCCCTCAGTCCCCAGAGTTGGGGGCTGAGATTCAGCGACATGGACGGAATGCCTCACTCCCCATCTCGGGATGCTGTTAGATGCCAAAATTGCTGCATGTGCTGGTGGTGCTTATAGAATCTTTGACGAAACAGTCCATTCCAGTGTCTGGTTTTCCTCTGTGTCTAGGACCCAGACACGTGTCCTCGGGCAGGGCCAGGACGTGACAGATAGCAGACCCTGTGCTAAGCTGAGTGTCCTGACCATGAGGCCTGGGAACAGGGTCCACTCTATCCTGCCTGAGCTCTACTCAGCTCATCAGAGTGAGTTTCCTTTCAGGGCGCAACTCGGACCCTCACACCAAGACCCTTATCGTGGGTCTGCCTTGCCTGCTCATCCAGCTTCCCCATTCGTGTTTTAATCCTGGCTTTGCGTATGGCTGGGACTCACATTGGGGCCTCATTTTCCCTGTGTTCGAAGGGAAGAAGTAGGACTGACATTGCCAAAGACTCGTTTCTCAGTCTTTACTGGGACTGAAAACACAGCATAGGAGTCAACTGCCTATATCATCTCCCAGAGCCATCAAGAAGTATTAGCATTCACAAGGGTTCAGGCCCTAAACAGATACTAACTTTGTTAACTTTTTCCCCTTTGAACTGAGACAGTAATAGGTGCCATTCACCTAGTATGTGCCCAAGCCACTCAGTGTTTTCTATGATTAAATGAGCTAAAGTAGTCACAGAAAGGTAAGTTTAAAGAATATGGAACAAAAATCTTACATGACTCAAATGAAGGTAATAAATTCTGGTTTTTGAATGCTTTACTGCTTCTGGAGCTATTTCTGTTTTCAGGACCTACTTTGACATGTCCAATAGAAGCATGTGCCAATTTTTTTCCCCCCTATCAGAAGCACTAATATTGTTCAGTCACTGAGTCACGTCCAACTCTTCACAACCCCATGGACTGCAGCATGCCAGGATTCCCTGTCCCTTACCATCCCCTGGAGTTTGCCCAGTTCAAGTCCATCACTTTGGTGATGCCATCCAACCATCGCAGAAGCACTAATGCTTCTACATAAAAATGTAGATTTTATAGGAATATATGTTTCATGTAATGATAATTCAAAGCTCAGCTTTGTAGGTATTCTAGAGTAGGTACACTGCTGGTTTGTATGCCCAGCCTCATAGGAGCAGGTACGTGTTTACACACACACACACACACACACACACACACACACACACACACACACACACACACACACACACACACACACACACTGGGGAAACTCCCCTTGTCTGGGAGAAGTGGCTGGAATCCAGCTGGCAGTCTCCTGGAGAGATGGTTTTGAACTCTTGCTGCTAGGATCCCCAGTGCCACCCTCCTTCCTGGCCTATGGAACGCGCAGTTGACCAAAACCTCCTGTGAGCTATTAACACCTAACATCTGCCCCCCCTTTTTTTTTCTTGAGAGGCAGAATCAGCCTCTGTTACTTGTCATTCAAGAATCCTGATACTGTATACATATATGTTTAAAATGTTCATTTGGAAAGAATGCTCATTATACATGCTTGTGTCTTTTTAAAGCTTACTGAATTAAATCAGTTTTTCTTCAAGTATATTCTCTGCTTTTCATTCCTTGCTGGCCTATTTTGTTAGGCCAAGGACAGAGGATACTCATATAATGGATTGAAGAGTGGGTCTGATGAGCTGACACACCATAACACAAGGACTTCAAAAACATTGCTATATAAAGCAGAAATTTGTTGCCTGTGATCTTAAGTTTCTGTATGACTGCTTACAAGCTATCCTTCTGAGAACTTGAGAAGGCTTTGCAGAAGCCTATCTGAGGCCTTCATATAACCCTCTTGAGCAGGATAATTTTCTTTCTTTTACTTCAAGTGGCCCAGTAATAAGTTGAAAGAACAGGTATTTTCTGAAGGGAGTGTGGTTTGCTCAAAAATCCTGATTTTATATAAAATCCTAATTTGCTCAAAATTCTCAGCCCATTGGATCTCCCTCATAGGGTCCACATGGTAGAACCACTTTTCACTGCAACCTGATTCAGCTGGAGAGGCTTTTTTTTTTTTTCTTTTTTCCCCTGAGCCCAGTTAAATCTAGAAGCATTTGGATTAACCCATAAATGGGCTGGAGCACTGCACATAAAATTCAAAGAAAGCCACCAAACACTGAGGGTCCTCCTTCGTTGTAGGTGAAATAGAGCACACAATTTGTTCTTCACTATGGCCGGAACATTCCAACATACACCAGGAAGCTGGACCACCACAAAGTTGGCTGAGGTGGCAGGCTCCTGTGCCTTCATGGGATTTACCTTGTACTGTCCAGCCAGATATATATCATAGTGGGTATCCAGAGAAGCTAATTACACCTGTGCTCCAGGTCTATGAGCATATATCATCAACGTGTTAGTCCAGCATGATGCCTTGTATGATACTGAGATGATCAAGGTCTAATATCAAGAATTATATATAAAAAAAAAGAATTATATAATGGCACACAGGAAGTTAATGGAACATTAAGAGAAGACAATCTTTAATGTTGGTTATCAATAAACTGCGGCTACAAGTGTCTTCTCCTTACTGGAATAAAGACAAAACAAAAAAATGCACTGGCCAAAATAATACCCACCTACTGAGTTGCTCCAAGAAAGAGAACCTGTTTGACAACAGCTACAGTTAGAATTACAATCTGATTAATAAACATAATGCTGTCATTCCTAAAGCCCTGTCTCCTGCACATGCCAAAGATCATTTAAGTCCAGACGTGATAAGAATCACACCTGTGCTGCTTTTAAAGCTTTTGATAGTAGGATTTATCTTGGCAAATCATTTGGTACTCCAGTCAGAATAATTCTTATTCTATGCATCATGGATCCAATGTGGGGATGTTGCCATAGATGATGAAGAAATCAATTCTCTTCACCATGAAGATAACTAGACAATGGGTTCTATGCTTTGTGCCATAGACCACCATGGTTTCAGAGCTGTTGCCAGATGATTTCCAAAATGCCTGGTGGTTAGGAGTTCCCTGGTGGCTCAGTGCTAAAGAATCCACCTGCAGTGTAGGAGATGGAGGAGACACAGGTTCAATCCCTGGGTTGGGAAGATCTCCTGGAGAAGGAAATGGCAACCCACTCCAGTATTCTTCAAAAATCCCATAGACAGAGGAGCCTGGTGGGCTACGGTCCATGGGGTCGCAAAGAATCGGACACAACTGAAGCAACTAAGCATATCTGTGTTTCTGCAATGCATCGTTATCCTAGTAAATGGAGCCTCAAAGGTAGATTTTGGAAACATACTTGGGAGATTACAGAGTTCTTCACCTTAGAGGTCTTTCATTCATTTCTGTGCGTGAAAGTTCAGGGAGGGCCTTGACACTATTGGTGGCCCTGATCTGGCTTTTCTGCTGTATCACTTACATGGGCTGTCCCCATCTTTTGGCCTAAGCCAATTTAATATTCAACTGGGCTTCACAGGTGACACTAGTGGTAAAGAACCTGCCTGCCAATGCAGGAGATGTGGGTTCAGTCCCTGGGTTGGACAGATTCCCTAGAGGAGGGCATGGCGACCCACTCCAATATTCTTGCCTGGAAAAATCCCATGGACAGAGGAGCCTGGAGGGCTAAGTCCATAGGGTTGCCAAAGAGTCGGGCACGACTGAAGCAACTTAGCATGCAACTTGATGTTCAGTTGATATGCATTACTGTAGCTATAATGGTTGTATACACCAGCACCCATTTTTCTAGATCAAGACCTGTGTTGTCTTAGTTGTTCAATTTTTTCAGCATCATTTCTGGTTCTGGGAGCCTGTGATTTACTGGTGACCACCAAAGATTTCTGTAGGCCAATCTATTCTCATTACACTGTCCTGGTTAGTACACCTTGTCTCCAGTTGTTATTTGCTGCAAAGTGCTGCTTTTTAAGCCTCTAGTAGCCCCAAGATTCTGATGTCTCTATTTAAAGGGCTCATGTTAACTATAG